TGAATTGCACCCAGAAGCAAACCGGCAACCAGTGTAGCCTGTGAAGCAGAGGTGTTACATGGGCATACCAAGGCATGCCCGTTACTGCCCGTGCTGCTGCATTCTGGACCAGTTCCAGGTGGTTTTCAAGGGCATCCCCATATAGTGTGCATTAGAACAGTCAAACTGTGAGGTGACTAGGGCATGAGTGACTGTCTGAAGGGCCCCCTGATCTAGGAAAGGGCTATACGTTTTATTTATAATCTGGTAATCTGGAATAAATTATTCTTCTCTTTTACAGGCCTTTGTTGGAAGGCATGTACTTGCTTATAAGCAAGCTGGCTGCCCAGATGAAAACAGTTTGTTACCAGCAACCACAGGCCATGTAACCAAGACAAAGGTACACAGGGAATAAACCCAGTAGTCCTTGCAGTTGCCAACATATTATCCATACCTATTCTGGCAACGCTGTGACTGGACCTGATAATGTAATTCCCTGCATCATGGTTTCTTGCTCCATGCCTCTAATATTTGATAGATAGGCAGACAGACAGACAGACAGACAGAAAGATAGAAACCAAGTTATTTATCAGCAATGCTGTAACCAGTCAGTTCTGTACAAAATAATCAATAGGTGCAATTCTGGCATCAGAAATGGCAATTTTCAAAATCAATTGGAGTACCCTGCAAACATGCAGAATTGTCAATTACTGATTTGTACATGTATTTGTCATCTCATCAGTGCAGTAACTGTGTTTTTGAATGGCCACCGCTCATGGAATGGTAGAAGACATGAGTGGGACGGTGAGGTGACTCCTTTTGCAAGCCACAGCCTTTTAGATCTGTGTTAACTCCTATTGTAGCTTTCCTTAGTTTTCTCTTTTGCCATCTTATCAAGGGAGCGCAACCCTCAATAAAAGAAAGGTAGCCCAACTTTGGTTTTATATTTCCCCACATCCAGCCAACTAAAGATGTGTATATGTATATGTATGTGTGTACACACAGATACATGCAGACACGCATGGTCTTTGTGGATAACTGTTGCTATTGTTTTTGCTGTAATAGAATGATATATCTAATATCTAGGTAATTTTTTGAAAATGTCTGTCATTTCTGCACTTGAACACTAGAGGGTGGTGATTTTCTTTCTCTCTCTCTCTTTTTTTTTTTATCTGCGCTCAGTCGTTACCGACTCTGCAGTGACTGCTTGGACGAGTCC